CAAAGCATAACCTACCTAGAGAGATTGAGTAAATGGATGGCGGAACAAGGTTTAGGAGATTGAAGGCAAGAGGGACAGAGGAAAACAACGAAAAATGGACGCAAATAACCTAAGGAAAAGAGAGAGAGATTGAGTAAATGGATGGCGGAACAAGGTTTAGGAGATTGAAGGCAAGAGGGACAGAGGAAAACAACGCATAACCTACCTAGAGAGATTGAGTAAAATGGATGGCGGAACAAGGTTTAGGAGATTGAAGGCAAGAGGGACAGAGGAAAACAACGCATAACCTACCTAGAGAGATTGAGTAAATGGATGGCGGAACAAGGTTTAGGAGATTGAAGGCAAGAGGGACAGAGGAAAACAACGCATAACCTACCTAGAGAGATTGAGTAAATGGATGGCGGAACAAGGTTTAGGAGATTGAAGGCAAAAAGAGGGAAAGAGGAAAAACTTTAACCTACCTAGAGAGATTGAGTAAATGGATAAATGGATGGGGAACAAGGTTTAGGAGATTGAAGGCAAGAGGGACAGAGGAAAAAAAATCATAACCTACCTAGAGAGATTGAGTAAATGGATGGCGGAACAAGGTTTAGGAGATTGAAGGCAATAGGGACAGATGAAAACAATGCATAACCTACCTAGAGAAATTGAGTAAATGGATGGCGGAACAAGGTTTAGGAGATTGAAGGCAAGAGGGACAGAGGAAAAGTAAATGGATGGCGGAACAAGGTTTTAAGATTGAGGAGGGACAGATTCCGCATAAATGGGAAATGGATGGTTTAGGAACAAAGGTTTAGGAGATTGAAGGCAAAGAGGGACAGAGGAAAAACATAACCTACCTAGAGAAATTGAGTAAATGGATGGCGGAACAAGGTTTAGGAGATTGAAGGCAAAGGGACAGAGGAAAACAACGCATAACCTACCTAGAGGATGGCGGAACAAGTTGAGTAAATGGATGGACAGGAAAACAAGGTTTACCTAGGAGATTGAAGGCAAGAAAGAGAGGAAAAGATTTCTAGGGCAAGAACAAGAAGAATGACCTAGAGAGATTGAGTAAATGGATGGCGGAACAAGGTTTAGGATTTGAAGGCAAGAGGGACAGAGGAAAAAAAACACATAACCTACCTAGAGAGATTGAGTAAATGGATGGCGGAACAAGGTTTAGGAGATTGAAGGCAAGAGGGACAGAGGAAAACAACACATAACCTACCTAGAAGAGATTGAGTAAATGGATGGCGGAACAAGGTTTAGGAGATTGAAGGCAAGAGGACAGAGGAAAACAACATAAACCTACCTAGAGAGATTGAGTAAATGGATGGCGGAACAAGGTTTAGGAGATTGAAGGCAAAAGGACACAAGGAAAAACAACGCATAACCTACCTAGAGAGATTGAGTAAATGGATGGCGGAACAAGGTTTAGGAGATTGAAGGGAAGAGGGACAGAGAGAAAAAAAATGGATACGCGAACCTACCTAGAGAGATTGATTAAATGGATGGTACGAACAAGGTTTAGGAGATTGAAGGAAGAGATGGGACAGAGAAAAAACAACATAACCTACAACTAGAGAGATTGAATAAATGGATGGCGGGATGGCAGAACAAGGTTTAGGAGATTGAAAAAAAAGGGACAGAGGAAAACAAATGCATAACCTACCTAGAGAGATTAAATGGATGGCGGAACAAGGTTTAGAGATTGAAGGCAAAGAGGGACAGAGAAAGTAAAACCTTTAGATTGAGAAAAATGGCAGGTTTTTAGAGATTGAAGGAACAAGATGGACAGATGGAAGAAAAATGGATTATTAGGAGAAGGCAAGAGGAAAAAACAACATAACCTAAATTATTTGAGTAAATGATGGCGGAACAAGGTTTAGGAGATTTAGGAGATTGAAGGCAAGAGGGACAGAGGAAAAAAAAGCATAACCTACCTAGAGAGATTGAGTAAATGGATGGCGGAACAAGGTTTAGGAGATTGAAATAAGAGGGACAGAGGAAAACAACATTTAACCTACCTAGAGAGAGATTGAGTAAATGGATGGCGGAACAAGGTTTAGGAGATTTAAGGCAACCAACACTGAAAACAACACATAAAAAAGAATGAGAGATTGAAGTAAATGGATGGCGGAACAAGGTTTAGAAGAAATAAAGAATGAAGAAAAAAACAACATAAATCTAAATTTCAACTTGGCGAGTTCGCTGGATTTCAAAAACAAATTCCCATAGAATTTATAGGAAAGATGTGGATGATAGGAAAACAAACAAAACCTAGGAAGATAAATTGGGGTTTAGATGGAAACGTTGAGAAAAACAAGGTTTAGGAGTGTATTGAAGGCAAGAGGGACATCTAAAAAAAAAAGTACAGGAGGACCCTTACCTTTAAGAAGAAATTTCTGAGTAAAAATGGATGGCGGAAAAAGGTTTAGGAGATTGAAGGCAAGAAAGAAAGAGAAAACAAAAATAAATATTTTTGATAAATGGATTGGAACAAGGTTTTGAATTTCAAGAAATTTTTGAAAAAACAACGTTGAAGAAAGAGAGGTGAGAAAATGGATTAATTGAGAAAAGAAAGAGAAATTGAACAGAAAAGAGGACAGAGGAAAACAAATAAAAATTCCTATTTTATTGAAATTTTGGATGACGGAACAAGGTTTAAAAAATTAAAAGTTTAAACAAAAAAAGAACCTAAAAAAGATTGAAAAATGGATGGCGGAAAAAGGTTTAAACATTTATTTAAACAAAATTTAGAATTAACCTTTAGAATTGAGACAAAAATAATCAGTAAGAGAAACAGACAAGGCAGAAAGAAAAAAAAAAAGATTTCTACCTAAAAATTGAGTAAATGGATGAAGGAACAAAAAATTGAAGACAGAGAGGAAGAGCTTTTAATTCTAAAAGTTTAACGAAAAAAAAGAAAGCAAACAAGAAAGATTACCTTTTTGAAATGGATTTTTTTTTAGAAATTGAAAGAGAAACATTATAGAAATTGTCAAGAAAACTTTCATTGTAGTATATTGATGATTCAGTAATAAATTGAAGGAAAAAACAAAAAGAAAAAAACGGCAAAAAACCTTTTGTTTGGATTTTTAAACAAGGTTTAAAAAAAAGATCAAAAAAGAAAATTTTTCATTTTTTTAGAAATTGTTTAAAGAAAAACATTTTAGGAAAAATGAAAGGCTTTCAAAAAAAAAAGATAACCATAAAGAAATGGATGGCGGAAAAAAGTTTAGAAAGATGAAAAAAGAAAACAGAAATTCTACAAATCCTAGAGGGACCTTAAAATTTTATACAGAGTTTATGAACAATTTATAGGACAAGTGGGGAAGGTACCTATAAAATATAAATGGATTTAGTTTGTTTGTTTGTGATCTTTACAAAATTTTTTATATTTCCACCTTCTGGAACAAAGCTGTTTATTTGACCCGTCTATCTTTGTTTTGTTTATATGAATAACAAGTTTCCAATGGGGTTGGATATGTGGCAATATGGTCAAGAAAATTCTAACAGGGACACAGGCATAATGAAGATTAAAATTGATAAAAAGTCTGATTTAAATATTCGTTTTATAAGAAGATTATTGTTTACGATTCATTCATTGTCTTTAAAGTTTTTAAATGGATCAAATCTATCATAACATAATTGGAATGTTAAATTGGGCAGCTATATATATTTTCTTTAAATTACTATATTTCAAAACTGATCTAAATTTTGAAAGGATTACCAAGATCTCAATAAGATATTTAATTTTTTTTGTTTCCTAACATGTGGAAGTACCAAATGTGGGATCTGATATTGAATAATAATATCAACAAGGATTACAAAAATTTTTTAATGTTGTAAAATTTTTTTTTTTGGAACAATATAAAGGTTTTAGAAATCGTGTTCTGAAATATCCACTCCTTTTTTCAACGAGCCATTGCAAATAAATGGATGAAATTTTTTTTGGATGAAATGGATTTTAAATAAATTTATTTTAAAAAATTTCAAACGCTCTATTTTTAGGATCGAACTACGAAAAATTGAATTTATATCGTATTCTCAAAAAAATCAAAAAACAAAATTAGGAAAAAAAAGACAGATATCCTTATATAATTCATTTAACGGACTAGAGATTGACTATGAAATTATTGGCAAAAGTTAAAACAAAAATAAAAGAGACTTAAAAAATCGTTTTTCCAAAAACAACCATAGAGGGAAACCACTTATCAAAATGAAAAAAAAGAATTGAAAAATATTTAAAGGATAATTTAGAACAAAAATTGTAAAAAAAATGAAGAAAGGATTTCTGCAAAACAAGAAAGAAAAAAGAAAAATGTAATAAAGACATTAAAGAATTCGTAGAAAGGAATGAGGGATAAAGAAATATTTTTAAAAGAGGAAAAATGATTTCGATTTTTTAAAAAAAAGAAAGAAATAAAAATTTCAGTTAAACAGAAAGAAGAAAAATCAAAGGAAGGGATGAAAAAAAAAAAACAAAAAAATCAAAGAGTTGAAAAAAGAAATAAAATAAGAAAAATTATTTTCTAAAAAAAAGAAAGAAAGATTAAAAAATGGAAAAAAGAAAAGAAAATAAGAAATCAAAAAGAAGGAAAACTATAAAGAAGAAAGAAAAAATGGCCAATTTTTTCGATAACAAAAAAAATTTTTTTAAACTGTTTGACAGATTTCAAATAAAAACAAAAGAAAAAAATAAAAAAGAAATCAAAAATCCAACGAAAATTTTGAAAAGAAAGAAAGAAAGAATAGGAGAAAATCCGAAATTTTTAAAAAGAAAAAGATCCAGTTTGATCATTTTAGGAATGAAAACAAAAGGTGAGAAAATTTTAAAAATTAAAGATGCAATTCGGTTTTTAAAAAGGAAATATTGAAAAAAGAAAGAAAGAAAAATTTTTAAAAAAAAAAAAAAACGAGTTAAGAAAAAAGAAAGTTAAAAAAAGAAATGAAAAAAATGAAATGAAAGAAAAAAAAAAAGTAAAAAAAAAAAAAAAAAAAGGTTGGAAGAAAAATTAAAGAAAGAAAACAAATGAAAGAAAAGAAAGAAGAGATGAAAAGTGAAAAGAAAAAAAGATGACAAATTGGAAATTTTCTAAAGAATGAATGAAATAAAGAAAGAAAAACAAAGAAAAAAGAAAAGATTTCCTTTTATATCCAAAAAAAATAAAACAAAGAATCAAAGTGAAAAAAGAAAGAAAGACATACAATATAAAAATAAAAGAAAAGTGAAAATAAAATTTAATGAAGAAAAATAAATATAAGATTAAAAGAAAAGAAAAATGAAAAAAAGAAAGAGAAAATTTTTTTTGAATAAGAAAATGAAAGAAAGAAACGGGAAAGAAAGAAAGAGGAACTATAAAAGAAAAAGATGAAAAACATGATAGATAGGGAGAATAGAAACAAAAAAAGAAAGAAAGAAAGAAAGAAAAAAGAAAGAAAAGAAAGAAAAAAGAAAGAAAGAAAAAAAAAAAAAAAAAAAAAAAAAGAAAAAAAGAAAAAAGGAAATAAAAAGAAAAAAAGAAAAAAAGAAAAACAAAAAAAAAATACTGAAAAAAAAAAGATGAAGAAAAAAATAAAGAAAAGAAAAAAGAAAGATTTCCATCAAAAAAAAAAAAGAAAGAAGAGAAAAAGAAAGAAAGAAAAAAGAAAGAAAATAAAGATGAATAAAAAAAAAAATAAAAATTGAAGAAAGAAAATAAAGAAAGAAAGATGGCAAAGAAAAAAAGATGAAAAAGAAAAGAAAGAAAGAAAAGAAATCAAAGAAAAAATAATAGATAGTATTTGTTGAAGAAAGAGAAAAAAAGAAAGAGAATGAAATGAAAAGAGAAAGAAGGGAATAAAAAGGTTAAGAAAGAAAAAAGAGAAAATAGAGGAATGAAAAAAATTGAAATATATAAATATTTATAAATTTGAAAAAAAAGAAAGAAAAGAAAAGGAATGTGAAAAAAGAGAAAGATGAAGGAAAAAGATAAAAAAAAAAAAATGAAAAGAAAAAAAGAGGAATGAAAAAAAAGAAAGATGATATAAAATGAAAAAATAAAAGAGTAAAAAAAAGAAAGAAAAAATTGAAAAAGAAAAGATTGTAAAAAATATATAAAAGAAAGATAAAATAAGATGGAAAGAATGTGAAAAAAAAAGATGATATAAACTATCCAAAGAAAGAAAGAAAGAAAGAAATTCATAAATTGAAAAGAAATAAAGATCATCTGGATTTAAAAAAAAATTAGAAAAAAAAGAAAGAAATTTCCAAAAAGAAAAGAAAAGAAAATTATTGAAAAAAAAAAATACATTAAATTGTTAAAAATAAAGAAGGAAGATGTTCTGAAAAATCAAATTTATCAAACTGAAGAAAAGAAAAACAGAAAGAAAGGAAAGAATGAAAAAGAAAAAAGAAAAAACAGTAAAAAGGGAAGAAAAAAAAAAAAAAGAAAAATCTTTTGTATAAATCATATAAACTGAAGAAAAAAAAAAAATGAAAGAAGAGGAAAAAAAAAAGAAAGATTAAAAAGTTAAAAAAAGAAAAAAAACCTATAAAAAATTAAAAAAGAAAAGATTAATACATAAACTGAAGAAAAGAAATAAAGAAAAAAGGAATGAAAAAGAAAAGATGTAAAAAAATCTTTTTTCTAAAAGAAAACTTCCAAAAAAAAAAGATGAAAAAAAGAAAAAAAAAAAAAAAAAAGAAGAAAGAAAGAAAATTATATGTGAAAGAAAAGAAGAAAAAAAATTTAAAAAGACATTAAAAAAAATTGAATTAAATAAAAAAGTCTTTTGGAGAAAAAATGAAAAAAAAAAGGAAAAAAAAAGAAAGAAAGAGGAAAAAGAAAAAAGAGGAAAGAACAAAAAACTAAAAAAAGAAAGCAAGAAAAAGAAAGAAATAGAAATGTGAAAAAGAAAGAAAGATGGCAAAAAAAGAAAGAAAATAAAGAAAGAAAGAAAGAAAGAAAAAAATGTGAAAAAAGAAAGAAAGATGATAAAAACTGAAAGAAAGAAAAAGAAAAGAAAGAAAAAGAAAGAAAAGATGAAAAAAAAGAAAAAGAAAGATGAAAAAAAAAGAAATGAAAAGAAAGAAAAGAAAGAAAGAAAGAATGGAATGTGAAAAAGAAAGAAAAATAAATGAAAAAGCGAAAGATAAAAAAAGAAAAAAGAAAGAAAATTAAGAAAGGAAAATGGAAAAAAGAAAGATGATAAAAACAAAGAAAATAAAGAAAGAAAGAAAGAAAAAGAAAAAAAGAAAGAAAGATGTAAAAGAAAGAAGAAAAAAGAAAGAAAGAAAGAAAGAAAGAAAAAGAGGAATTGGAAAAAAAAAGAAAGATGAAAAAAAAAAAAGAAAGAAAATGAAAAAAAGAAAAATGTAAAAAAAAAAAAAATGATAAAAACTGAAGAAAGAAAAGAAAAAGAAAGAAAAAAAAGAAAGAGGAAAAAGTGAAAGAAAGAAAGAAAGAAAGAAGCGAAAAGAAAGAAAAGAAAAAGAAAGAAAAGAAAAGAAAATAAATGAAAAAGAAAAAGATGATAAAAAAAACAATGAAGAAAGAAAGAAAGAAAGGAAAGAGGAATGTGAAAAAGAAAGAAAGAAAGAAAGAAAGAAAGAAAGAAAGAAAGAAAGAGGAATGTGAAAAAGAGAAAGATGTAAAAAGCGCTAAAGAAAGAAAGAAAGAATGAAAGAGGAATGTGAAAAAGAGAAAGATGTAAAAAGTTAAAGAAAGAAAGAAAGAAAGAAAGAGGAATGTGAAAAAAGAAAAATCTCTGTTAAAAAGAAAGAAAGAAAGAAAGAAAGAATCGCTAAAAAGATGTAAAAAACCTTAAAAAAAAAAAAAAAAAAAAAAGAAAAGATGGAAAAACCCTGAATGAAAATGAAAAAAAAGAAAGAAAGAAAGAAAGAAAGAAAGAGGAATGTGAAAATATTTTTCTTGTAAAAATTTAAAAAGAAAGAAAGAAAGAAAGAAAGAAAGAAAGAGGAATGTGAAAAAAGAAAGATGATATAAACTGAAGAAAGAAAGAAAGAAAGAAAGAAAGAAAGAAAGAAAGAAAGAAAGAAAGAAAGAAGAGGAACGACTGGGAAAAGAGAAAGACGATATAAACTTGAACGGGGCTAAGAAAAGAAAGAAAGAAAAGTTCTTCACTGTCCAAAAAAAAAGAAAGAAAGAAAGAAAGAAAGAAAGAAAAAGAAAGAAAGAAAGAAAGAAGTTGCGAAAGCACAATATTGTTGGAGAGATAGTGAAATGGAGGAAGAGAAAAAAGGGAATGATAGATTGAAAGATTCTGATAGTAAGGGAGGAAAATCAAAAAAGAAAAGAAGGCAACAACGAGAACGCACAAGAAAATAATATATGAAAAAGAAGGAAAGAACGATTTAGAAATGAAGGAAGAAAACAATAAAAAAATAAAAGAACAAAGTATAAGACAAGAAGAAGAAGAAGAAAAAGAAGAAAGTAAAAAGGAAAGAAAACAATAATAGATAAATAAAAAGTAAAAACGGAATAAGAAAGAAAAAAAAAACAATGAGAAAGAAAGAACGAAAGGAAAAGCATAAGATAGGAAGATAAAAAAAAAGAAAGGAAAGCCAGCATGGAAGAATAAGAAAGGAAGAAAGAATGACAGACAGAGAGAAATAAAGAAACAAAGAAAGAATCAAATCTGAGCAAAATGCCTCCATTTGCTAACATGGGCTAACACACACCCAAAGGCAGCGATGAACGAGCGTGCACACGTACATGCATATGCGCACACCCAAACCATGGATATTGATCTCGGCTTAAAAGGATCAAATCAAAGAAGTGGAGATGGGAAGATTGTGCTGTGTCCGTATTTCTAGTGGGAGGTGTCGATTGAAAAAGAGCATCTTAATTATTGGCCTCGAACACTAACCAGTGTCGAAACTGGATTAAAATTCTTTGGTTTTTTCAATGATTCGTGGGTTATTTCCCATATAAGATAGATAGATAGATAGATAGATAGATAGATAGATAGATAGATAGATAGATAGATAGATAGATCTATTCCTAGGTTAGCAGCTAAGAAAGTCTCGTGCGAGAATCTCCAGAAACTATCTTGAATATCTATAAGTCTAGCATATGTATATATAGAACGAATATTGCTAGATATATATGGTTCGGTGTCCTGATATTCACCTGAGCCCTTGATAATTTTCCGAGAAGATAATAATAGATAGATAGATAGATAGATAGATAGATAGATAGATAGATAGATCTATTAGTAGGTCAGCTAGAAGAAAGAGTCGGTTCAGAGTACGAGACAATTTTTCTCTCCAGATTCTATCTTGCATATCGATAAGTCTAGCATTAATTCATACTTAGAATATTGCTGCCATATACATAGACTGATAGACGGGAGTAGACTAAAATAGATATGAGTAGCCAGATAGATAGATAGATAGATAGATAGATAGATAGATAGATAGATAGATAGATAGATAGATAGATAGATATGAATAGAGTGAGATAGTTATGAATAGAGATATAGATAGATAGATAGATAGATAGATAGATAGATAGATAGATAGATAGATAGGAAGGAGTAGACTGAGATAGATATGAGTAGACATATAGATAGATATGAGTTGACTGAGATAGATAGCTAGATAGATATATAGATAGATAGATAGATAGATAGATAGATAATGAATAGACTGAGATATAAATAGAGTAGGATAGATAGATAGATAGATAGATAGATAGATAGATAGATAGATAGATAGATAGATCTATTAGTAGGTCAGCTGCTAAGAAAGTCGGTTCAGAGTACGAGACAATTTTTCTCTCCAGATTCTATCTTGCATATCTATAAATCTAGCATTAATTCATACTTAGAATATTGCTGCCATATACATAGACTGATAGACAGGAGTAGACTAAAATAGATATGAGTTGCCTGAGATAGATAGATAGATAGATTGATAGATAGATAGATAGGAAGGTGTAGACTGAGATAGATATGAGTAGACATATAGATAGATATGAGTTGACTGAGATAGATAGATAGATAGATAGATAGATAGATAGATAGATAGATAGATAGATAGATAGATATGAATAGGCTGAGATATAAATAGAGTAGGATAGATAGATAGATAGATAGCAGACTGAGATTGCTCTTTTTACCAAAATAGTTTTTTTTACAGTATCATGGCTCGGCAAACGTAGACGAGCATTTTCGTTTTCCATATCAACCATCAATCTACATGTTACTGCAACAATTTAAATAGACTACGACGAATTTATTTATTTATTTTTTATGCCAGTGTTGTCTTTCGCTTGTTCAAATCAATGGTAGCAAAACAAAGATAAAAGTTAAACGCAAACGAATCCAAAGTGCAACAAATTAAATGAATTTAGGGCATGTCAAATGGAAAGAAATAAAATATTTGACAATAGGTAATTGATGCTTTGAGTAAGTATTCCTCTTCTGCATTTGGAATAAACTCGATTCAGTCATACACAACTTCATTTTATCCTTCTCAAATTTATTCTTCTAAAACTATGTACACTCCTATTTCCTTGCATTACTAGACCACCCGTGACCCGTTGGGTCAACTTTCTTGCGTTTACTGTCTATGAAGAGTTTGTAAAAGTAAAGATATTTTAAAACTACATTTATTTGCAGTTAGTTTAGAAAACATATAATATATTTTATTAAACTTTATATTTATCTACAAAACACTTTTATTTACAATATTTTTTGATCTTTTAAATTATACTACCCGTGACCCGTTGAGATTACGAAACACTGAAGTTGCTTTCAACATTGAAAAAAATATCTATTTGAAGAAAGTTGAAATAAAAATACTTATTGTATAAACAAATCGTAATTTTAAAACATATATATTACCCGTGACCCGGTGAGTCACTGAAGATTTAGATTATCAAATATTGAAGTTGCTTTCAATATAAAAAAAAATTGTTAGTTTGAAGAAAGTTGAAATAAAAATACCTACTGTATGAACAAATCGTATTTTTAAATCATATATATTACCCTTTGCATCTCTGAAGGTCCAGATTATAAAATATTAAAGTTGCTTTCAACATTAAAATATTGTCTGTTTGAAAAAACTTGAAATAAAAATACTTATTGTATAAACAAATTGTAATTTTAAATAATACAAGATATAGAATTTGTTTCTTACTGTGGACGGTGTTGCCGTAGTCTGAAGGGGTATCATTGAAGTTTGTCACCGCTGTCGCTTTTAGTATGAGCTCGTGAAGTTCAAAAGCGAGAGTGACGTGGACCGTGATGACAGCTGTGCGTATCCTGTTTGGGGCTGGATTTCGTGTGTTTTCTTCTCTCTCTCCCTTCCTACACGAAAATAAATTTACATCTTTCTTTACCCACTCTCTATATATGACTTCTGGCAAACAAACAAGCAAAGTTCACAGAGTTTTATAGTAATATAGATGTATTCGGCATTATTTGCAGTGACTTGTTGCCACGTATTAGGCAACACGTGGAAACATTTTCGTGATACATACGATGCTGAAATCCCTACTTGATGACTGATAACTGCGAGTGCAAATATGCTAGATAATCTTTTAAAATAATATTGGCCACAGTGAACGTTTCTGACTTTAAGTCATTTCTATCGATATTATGTCATTTTTTGGGCAGTTTAAACTGCTTGTATTTATGAAACTTGAAAGCAAAATTAACACAACGTTAGTCCCAATTTGAAAAATCTGGAAAATGGCAAATAGGCTGTTGCCACGAATCGGGACCTGGTGTCGCCAAGTTTAAATTCGTATTCATTCAACCTAAATTAGCGAAGACAAACGTCAGGTATTATTCAATAAAATACACGTTCCCCAGTTTTACTTATTCGCCATTATCTGCAATGACCCCTTACCAATTCTCAGGCGTCGCTTTAATACATTTTCATTGAAATCCCGCAACGTTTTGACATGAAAAAAAGTCGAGGAACTCTTGAATCTGGCTTCATTTCTGAAAGATTATCCACCATTAAAACGCGTTCTACAGCGATCAAATAAATGAATAATCGGTCGGTGCAAGTTTAGGTAAAAATGGCGTCGGTGTTGCACTAATTAATCATGTTTCAACATTTGTTTCTGTGTTATTCTTGCTATAGGGGGCCTGAGGTTTTTCATAGACGTTTAATGACACGTTGCAGCTGCTCAATGATAAAATGTGCTTTTAGTGTTTCACCGCGTTTTGCAGAACTCCACAGATATAATCCCTCGATTATCACACACAAAATTACGTTTTCCTCTATGGAGCTACAGATTTTGGGGTTCGCTTGGAGAGATTTGTGCGTTGCGTTTCATATTGTCTTATGTTAGTTTACAACCAATTTATACTGACCTATCATATACTTTTGGCATTTTAACGGACCCCCACCCCGAAAAAAACGAAAAACAATAGTTTCTTCTAGTTTTCTGGCTTACAACATCGAACCGAGCATGACTTTTCCATTTGAAGAACACGCTCCTTATTGACCCACCAGACGAAAGATGTGACATGAATAATTAGATTTCCTACATGCTTGGTTGTTGTTTTTGTAGCGGCATGTCAACCATGATGCATTATCTAATCTCGACATCTAAATATTTTGAACGCAATTGTATGCCTTCGACTACAGATAAAATATATTGTTGGTCATTTTCTTTAGCGGCATATCAACATCTTTATGGGTTATTTAATGCCGAAATCTAAATATTTTTCAAACCTTCGACTATAGATAAAATGTTGGTCATTTTGTTTAGCCCATATCAACATCTTTATAAAATATATTAAATTTTCGAACATTTTTTTAACTACAGATAAAATATATTTTGGTCATTTTCTTTAGCGGTTCAACATTTAATGCTGAGATCTAAACATTTTGAACAAATTTGTATGCCTTCGACTATAGATAAAATGTAAGGTTGGTCATTTTGTTTAGCGGCATATTAACATCTTTATGGGTTATTTATTGTCGAAATCTAAATATTTTGAACGCAATTCTATGCTTTCAGCTACAGATAAAATGTATTGTTGGCCATTTTTTTAACGGTATATCAATATATTTATGGGTTATTTAATGCCAAAATCTAAATATTTCGAACGCAGTTGTATGTCTTCAACTACAGATAAAATGTATTGTTGGCCATTTTGTTTACCGACATATCAACATCTTCATGGGTTATTTAATGCCGAAATCTAAATATTTTGAATGCAATTGTATACCTTCAACTACAGTAAAACTTATTGCTGCTCATTTTGCGCGTCTTTGAGAATTGAAACTCGTGTGGTTTTTATAGAGGCGGAGTTTTCTTTAATTTGGACATTTTGGAGGTTGTAGGAGTCAATGACCTGAAGGAGGCGCCATGATCCTTTTTGAGGATGGGGAAAATGGAGCAGAGGATGAAGGGCCCGCCCCACACAGGCCTCAGTTTCCTTTCCGCGCTTTGCGTCCAGTTCTTTATTTAGTTGTTTCAATTTCAGAATTGTCTCCCAGCTCGACTCAAACTTCTATATATCCTTTGTGATAGTCGCATGCGGGCGCCGTCCTTATAGCTGATAAAGGGAATTAAGCTGTCGATGACTATTTCCCCGGGAGCTTCAGGAGACTGATGCTCCGCTATTTGGCTCTTTTCTCTGCTCCTACCAACGACATTCTATTCTTCTTCTTCCTTTTCCTTACTCGCAATTGCGATTGGCGCCATTTTTTTTGTGGGGGATGTGAGACGGAAGCTAGCCGGGAATTTGTGCGCACAGATCCAACACGCTGGTAGGCCTATTACTGGCGCTGTGGAACTATCAGTATCGAACAGAGGGGGAAATTGTGTTGTCTATGGCAGGAACTCCAGAGGTCTCTTTCTCTAGACAGGAAAAGGAGAGGTAACCAATCTCTCCATACTTCCAACAAGTTGATTTTCTGCCGGTCACGCTGACCGGAATTTTCAGGCTGCAAAATTCCAAAAATTTGGGGACGGAGAAGAGGGCCAAACGATCGAGCATAATATCGAAGCTCCATCCCCCATTCATATTGTCACATGTAACACATAAGATTTGCCAATATCCACTAAATAGACAGCTCGATGCTCTCCTATCAATGTAGCGGGACCTTATATACTGCTAACCGCTCCTGCGTTGACCATCAAATTCCTTATATAGTGTTAGGTTTTTGGTAATCAACACCCGATTCGCTACCTTTTCCGCTGTGGGCAGCAGTACGTCCCAAATAAAAAAAATCCGTTATCTTTTATAACTCTTTCGTATTTGACCCCAAGCGACATTGACAGTGAGAGATAACCGTCTCTTTCGTGGAGTGACAGATATTGCTCGGACGCTTGTCCACCCCGGAGACTGACACCATTTTGTTTTTGAACTTCTGTAATTCTGTTATTCCAAACGTCCATATCCTTTAATAAGATGTTCGTAACTTCTGGGGCTATACAAAAAATACCTCGATATCAATTATACATTTCGGTGGAGCAAGAGGGCAATTTCCTGGCCGTCGCACTCTTTAGTGCTTCCATTGATTTTGGCACATTTTCTTCAGCAGCAGTGGTTTTTGTCTTCTCCTCTTACTCGCCTTTATTTTGTTGGGTTTAGAAATTGACTCAATCCGTGAGCTAAATCTATTTTTCCTTTATCGGTGGGTGAGGGCCTTCCTCAGAAGGAGACACGAAAAGATCTTTTTCTCACTACACGAAGTTTGTCGGAGATACTGAAAAGTTAAAAGGAGTTACAAGCGGGGAAAATTTATTCTTGTGACAAAAAATATATTTTAATTTGAGTGGTGTGTAGAAAAACAAAACAAAAATAAAACTCACAAAAAAGATTTTCTTCTACAAAAATTGTTAAAATATAATCAAATGAAGAAATAAAAATGAGAGGAAAAAAATTAACAGTACAAATAAAAATATATAATACAATAAAGAAAAAACTGATTACAAGAGAAACAAAAAAGTTTGACTTACTTAGTAAAAAGATAAAAAAAACAAATAAATGACACTAATTTACGGTTTGTTAAAACTATAAATAACATATACCAAAATTTAAAAAAAATGAAATAAAACGATGTTAAATAAAACTTCACCCAAAGACGAAAGAGCAAATAAAATTCGACGAAAGAAAAATAAGTAAACGACGAAAAAAAGAATGAAAGCGTTTAAACTAAAAAAACAAAACAAAAAAACAATAATCTTTAAAAAATAAAAATAAAGAAAAACAATGGTTT